CGGTCCCTACCTCTTCCACGGCATCTCCGACACCCACGTGCTCCGAGCGCTCAAGCACCGATACGTCGATCCGAATCGTTGACTAGCCCTCGAATCAATGCCATTGCATGCGTGATTGATGGAAGATGTTGACGAGTCTCCCTCTCGGCCATTTTCCACCATAGTGACCCCGGATCGAGCATCTCCAGGCGGCTAGAGCGCGAGACCATCCATCTTTCAAGATCGAACCTCCTGCTTGTTCAAGAGAGTCCCTGGTCCGGATGACTGGATGGCAGTCCATTCATATGACTGACTGCACCGTAAAGAGAGTTGCGATCGTAGCCTTGTGAAGCTGCGGTGGGCGGGAGGCGGTCCAACACTGATCGGGTGAGATCGGAACCCCGATGTGGGCGAAGCTGCCGGCAAGATTTGTTCGGCATGATGCAACGCGCTGGACAAACACGGAACGCAGGCGCATGCAGGGTTTGCGCGGCGCCACGTGAAAGCTTGCCAATGATTTGCAGCGTTCATAAAGGCGCCTCCTCCCAACGCACCAAACCAAACCTCCTGACAGCTGCGAAATCGCCGAACCTTATCACATCGGACCTTGTATGCTGAGAGCGATCTGCTGTCATAGCTGAGCAGCGCAGTGCCTCTTACCCAGCAGCAGCTCGCGACCATCGGCATTATAAAACACACACCAGCTCGGTCATGTGCTTCGTCATGAAGAACTTTGCTGCTTTGCTCTGTGTCCAGTCTGCAGCGCAGGGTAAAGCTGGTTGTGCTGATTGCTCGCTGATTGCAAGCGGATTGCAAGCGGATTGCAAGCCGACCACGGTGTGACGAAAGGTGCGATGTCGAGGGATCGGCTTAGAGTAGTGAAGGGCATGAATTCTCCGGCAGCGCGGATTTCATTTTATCGCATTCACGCGCCTCCTCGCGCCCAAACTTTTTTTGGCCGAGCAGTGAGTGGCGGCTCAACAAGCCGAAAATCTCGCCGAATTATGCCTCCACTCGCCCGCCAAAGCAGACAGCAGCCGGGATGGCATCAGCTGGGCTGCTGCGTGAACGTGGCCGGGTAGATGCTATATCGCACAGCGGAAAAACAAAGGAGGAGGTGGCCAGCACCATGCTTGCTCGACAACAACCACCATCATCCTCATCCCCTCTCTCCATAGCATCTCGCACCTCTTTTCGCCCAACGCTTCATTTCGGCCACTTCATATCCGACACGCATAGGGGTGCGTTGCCATGCAGGCCCCGAGCGCACACTAAATCAGGCGACCCTCTTTTCCTTTTTGCCAGTCATGGCCGAGCCACAGGCATCGCAGGCGGCACCAGCGGCCGCGCCCAAAAGGGGCCATCACCGCCGCACATCGTCGCTGCTGCCCAGTCTCGGCTCGCTCGGCTCCTTCCTCGCAAGCGCAGGTGGGCTGGCTACCCCCAACGCCAACTCGAACGATGCACAAGACGCTCCACGAACAGGCACCCTCCCAACCGACGCCGAGCTCGTCTTTTCTCATCCAACACCCACCGAATGGGCAGACGACTCGCCCGCCAAATCTCGCCCGCCTCGCTCAGCGCCAAAGGCAAACCTCAGCGACGAGGTGCGCTTCCGTGGCAAGCCTCAGCCGCAGTCGTCCATCGCCTTTCCCACGCCCACATCTCCCGCCGCCTCGGCTTCCTCGTCGGTCGCTAGCACCCCTCGCGGCTCGGACGCAGACGTACCACCCATGCTCTACAGCCCGCAGCAGTCCAGTGCCGCATCCTCCGCCGACACGCCGGCTACATCCGTGAGGTACTCGCCCCGCTCCACACCCAAGCACATGCCGCAAGATTCGCTCTTGCTCGCCCCCACGCCGCCCTCGGCACCGCCGTCAGAGTCCACCACGGTCAAGGCAGACGCAGGTCCATCCTATAGCCGCTATGCAACCCTTCCGCGCTCGTTTACACCTTCGCGTCCGTCGCCCAGCCAGTCCCATGCCGACCTGCCCAAGTCGCGCACAAAGCCAGGCGCGCATGGCCGAACTTCGTCCTGGAGTGCCGCCTCGGGACGACGCGCAGCCACTCAGCTCGACGAAGCGCTCTCCAGCGACGAGCAGTCCGTGCAGAGGCAGGCAGGCTTCCGTGCGCGCTCCATCAACTCCATTCGCGGCCTCGCCGCCGCATTCGTGCCTGCAAGGTTCGCGCCCGCATCGCAGTCGTCCAGCTCGGCTTCTTCCAACGACGACGCTTCCTCCCTCGACCTCTCGAGTCCATACCGCCGCGACGATCTTGCACTCGTGCCCGCTCCCGGCGCCGACTCGAAGCGCGTCGTCCGCCACGGCGAGGGCGAAGTCAAGCGGCCCGTCAAGCTCGACCGCCGTCGTCTGGACAAGGCCGTCTCCTTGGCGGTCGAGGCGGCGCAGGCGGCAGAGGAAGACGAGCGCATCTGGGAGCAGAAACGCACAAGAGCTTCCGAGGAGGACATCGACAAGGGCGATAGCGACGACGATGACGACCTCGGCTTCTCGCTCGATCTCTACATTTCCTCACTCGGATACCTCATCTCGGCCATCTCGGACAAGGAGGCGCCCGGCCTCAGCACCAAGCAGCGCCAGGACATCAAGCAGCGCCTCGAAGAAGGCATGTCCAAGCTCGGCTTTGACGCGCGCGCCGAACTCGCCGCAGCAGAGCACATGAAGCAACAGCTCGAGCTCGAGAGGCAGAAGCTGCAGCTCGAGCGCGACCATGCGCCCGCGGCCACCGCCAACGTGGTGCATCATCACTACCACACTGCCGTCCCCGCCAGCAGCTCCATGTTTGGCGACGCCAACTTTTCGCGTGCACATGCAGCCGCCAGGGCGTCCTCAAAGGGATCCTCGTCGCTCGCGGGCAAGCTTAGCTCGTCGGTGCTCGATATTGGGCTGCACATTGGCGCAGGCGCCTTGTCTGCACTCTCGGCCAACTTGTCGGCGATTGCGCCCAAGGGGATGCGAAAGACGTCCGGCGCGAGCTCGGCGAGTGGCGACAAGATGCAAGATCCCAGGATCACGGATCTCGATAGCGACGAGGAACTGCGCAGTCCCGGAGAGCGTGTCGATCCACCTTCGCCGGCCATGACGCCGTCGCAGCCGGACAGTGGTGCTGCCACGCCGCGCACCGCATGGTCGCGCGCCATCAGCCAGAACAACAAGCAGTGGGAATTAGCCGTGGCGTTTGCCAGCACGGCTGCATCCGCGCTTGCAAGCAGTCTGGGCGCCGTTGCTCGCAGCGATGGCACCGACGCCTACTCCGAGTCGTCGCCAAACTCGAGCGAGGTTGTACTTGGACCGCTTACGCTTGAGCAGCAGCAACATCTTGCGCGGTACGGCCATCCGGATGGTGCGGGCGGGGAAACGGCTGAGGACCGGTTGATTCTGCTGTCGGCATCGCTCGCACGCGCTCTCAAGCGCTCTCCGCTGCCGACGCAGCTCAACCAGTTGCTGCGCCAGATGGTCTCGATCCTCGCCGCCATCGATGCAAAGTACCGCGTGTCGGAGAAGGGCACCCAGCTGGCACTGCGCGAGACGAGCAGAGCGCTAAGGTTCGTCAGAAGACACGATCTCCACGTCAAGGCCGTGAGGGTGGCTTGGGCCGCTGCAGAGGCCGCTGTCGCGGCGCTGGAGGCGTACAGGGACGAACCGGCATGGGCGATCCAGGGAGGCACGGAGAGGCAACAGATCGCGCCGGCAAGAAGGATCGAGGACCAGTTCGAGCAGAGTGCTTAGTTTATACCCATCCCGTAGCAGGGACGAATGATACCATTGATATTCGCGACGTCTGCGTGTGCAGTATCTGCGCCGGTCAAAGGGCGCACAGAGGAGCATGGACGGGGCCGAGCAGCTGGCATGCGTTCTGCAATGTGGATTCTCGCTCGTCTGCAAGCGAACGCTTTTGCTAGCAGGTCCAATGGGCCCTGAGCTCAGCGCAGAACGGCAGGAGGCTCAAGACGAGGCAGCAGGCGATTGTATCAAGACGCACCAGCGCAGCAGGACGAGCGGGCCGTAGTGGCAAGGTTTTGCTCCAGCGCCCCACCGCTGTGCGCAGACTGATACCCGGACTTGGACGATCGTAGTTTTCATTGGCGCATCGTCTGCACGTCTCTGCGTGCAGCTACGCAACAGCCAACGGCGCAGCCAGACGATGCGCCTTGTGTGCACCTCTCTCCATGCCTGGAGTGCGGAGCCGTGTGGCTGTGGCGCGGCAACAAGTTTGAGGGTTCAGCGACGCATCTAACACGCCCAGGCGAGACCGGCTCAAGAGACGATAGGAGGGGATCTCTGCGTCGTCATCTGTCTTCTGCGCCCTTGTGCAGGCGATGGTTAGCACAGCATCTCGTGGCACAATCGAAAGCACATGTCGCCAACTGCTTAAGAACGACACGGTTTTTAGGATTCGAAATCTTGGTGTCGACGCCAGCAGAGCGTCTACCATACGTCCGTATGTCGCCTGTCTCCACCAGCATCCTACTGTCCTCGCCATCGCAGAAGACAACAGCAGCTAAAAAGGAGGCGCGTTGCGGTCGTCAGATTGATTCGTCACTTGCACCTCGTCATCCCAGATCGTGAATGGCAACGGTGGACAAAGGCAACGTGACGAGGCGGCCATGGTTGACCCGCACGATAGCACCCACGTTGCGTCTGCGCATATCTTCGCGCGCACCCCCATGGTCAACCTGTCTTGCCCAGCGCACCGGTCGAGCTAGCCAAGCGTCCACGTCCAAGTTGGCGATGCACGAATTTGAGACAAAAGCTCCCTTGTCGCCTGCGTAGCTGCTTTGCGCGACTCAAGCACAGATTGCAACGCCGTATGCCATGCCAGTGTCGCATGGAGCATCAACATCGTCACAAAGACCGACGGAATCCAGCAGTGCTTTCCGGACGTCGCTAGGCCGATCACAGCGGTGGAATGGATGCGTCGACACCTCTCAGCCGACCAAAGGTGGAGAATGCTTTGCTGGAACGAGTCGCTGGCGGCGTTGTGCAGCTCAATCTTGTTGCATCGACGAGAGCTGCGAGAAACGAAGAGATCGGATTGCAACACACGCCTCAACACGACCTTGGTAGCCAGCACAGAACTTTGATCCACTTGTGGTCACAATGCAGACGGCCATGCCACATTGATTCGAAGAGGAACGAGCTAGGGGTCCCACTCGGTGATACACTGGTAGAACTCGTTGAGGATGTGTTTCTGAGCCTGCTCGTTCTTGGCCTTGTCGGTGTCGATCGCACGGATGACGGTGTACTTCCTTCCCGTCAGCACGGCTGGCGTGACGACGTTGAACTCGTCGCCCTGTGTAGCCTGTGCAGCGTGGTCTTTGCTACCCACAATCGCTGCGCCTGCTTCTTGCGCAATGACGATGCCCGCGCACACGTCCCAGGCCCAGCATCCAATCTCCCAGTACAGATCCAGGTTTGCACTGGCCACATGGCAGAAGTTGAGCGCAGCACTGCCAACGCTCCTAACGCCCTGGACCATCTTTCCTCCAGCAATACCGCCGTCTGGATCGCCGGTGATCTTGCGGAAGCAGTCGAGCTTTCGTTCCAACACCTCGACGCGACGATCACTTCCCCATTCGAAAGCAACCAATGCTTGTCGCAGATCGTCCAGCGGCGTGGGGTCCACGAGGGGAAGTCGTCGGGGAGCAGGGTGGTGGGGACTTGACATAAAGCTGCCCTTACCCAAACATCCCTGATACAGCGTATCCATAAACGGCGCAAAGACTACGCCGATCGTCGGGACGCTGTCGATGACAACGCCGATGGAGATGCAGGTGTAGGGGAAAGCATGCACAAAGTTGGTCGTCCCGTCGATAGGATCGACGATCCAAGTCACCTGGTTTCCCAGCGCATGTTCTTCTCCAGCAGCCCAGGACTCCTCGCCAATAAAGGCGTGGTCGGGAAAGCGCGTGCTGATCTCCCGCTTCACCAGCGCCTCAACCGCCTCGTCCGTCTCCGTCACCAGATCCGCCGTATTCTTCTTGTGGTCAAACCCAGCCGCACTCGAAAAGCGGCGCGACGAGCCATCGACAATCGCCCGCCCCGCCTTGCGAGCCAGCTCGATCGCAAATGCGTAGATCTCGCTAATCCCTGCTTCGTCCATCGTGAGAATGTTGCCGTCGAGTTGCAAAGTGCAAGGATGGTGGGCAAGAAGAGCGCGCAAAGTAGAGCTTGGCAATTTTGGAGCCCCGTGCGCAACCGACGCCAAGGATCGCCATCCGCACGTACTGAAATCTTCTGCCACATCTGATGAAATTATATATGCAACAGCCGGAAAGGCAGACATGAAGTCCCAGTTAGTACAATGGTTAGTATAG